TTAGTAATTAATTACTATACATGATTTCAAAATTGCTACAGAATTTGCTCATTAAGATGTACACAAAGTTGTTCAGAGTGGTTCGATGTGAAATGGTTCAATGTAGAGAAGCATATAGACTCTAATTTCTTTAGTGTTGGTGATAAGAAACAGGAGTCAACATGTCTACAACACAAATAGTGCCATCTTGTCCAAAATCACCAGTGAACCTACACGTCTTTTAGAGTTTTTGCATATAATGTTGATGATGGTAAAATGGCTCGAACCAAACAAATGTGTTGTCAGGGGACTGTTGTGCCTTGTCTTATTCCAAAGTATCATAAAAGAATGTCTCAGGCACTAGGCAGTGTATTTCTAATCATTTCATGCAATTACTTGGTGAGGGAAAGCATTAAATGCTTCAGACATCTGGTTCCCATCACCACCACTGTGAACAATTCTGGCTTGGCATGTTTCTCTAGAACTCAGCTTTTCATATTAAACCACTTTAACCCCCTAAAATCCTAGGCTTATTGTTCAGTAACTACAGGGGCTTCAGTGCAAACTGGTCGAGCTGTTCTTAGGTCATAGAGGTGGTGGGCCCTGGCCGTGTCAGAGGTTAAATGACATTTATGTATCAACAGTTTAAGTCAGCTTCTTTTTCAAATGTTAAATGGGTACAGCAGTTAAAGGTGGAACAGGAATTTTTAATAAGAATCTGCTGAAAAAGATGCCAACTTTAGCCTCGTATGCCACAGTGGGTCTCCAGAGTCCTGATTTCTCTGCACTAGGATAGATGTTTAGAGTGAATGGTTGAAGGTTGCAGTGTTCATGTCGCTTTGTTTAAGTATTGAACTGTATTAAGTTCTCACCATCAGGAGGAACAGCGGAGCAAGCTAGTGCTGCATTTACATGTTAAAAAATAGCGTCTTAAGAAAAAAAACATTTTTTCATGTCTTTTTGCTTGACAGACGGCGGCATGCAGCTGTGTAAATGTTGCCATGATGGTAACGTCCAACAAAAAGTCACGATGAACAAAGGGAGGGCTTAAGCTGTCTCTTTACTCATTCTGGCAAAAAGATGTTTGCCCAAGATGACCTAACATTTTTATTTATGTATGGAAATCGTGGGGGGACACTGGCTTCCGAGCTCGGGGGGAGGTGGGTTAGGGAGGCCTGGCAATTTCAGGGCCCCCCATAGCTATGCCTCTGATATTGAGGTTTAGGGGAAAATTGTGTAAATGTATTTTTTTGTTAAACTATTCCTTTAATAAGGGTCCTTGCCAGCACCGAATCTCCTTCATGTGGCTGAGATAAGAGAGAGTGTGTTTATGTGATTTGCTTGTTGGATGTGACTCACTTGGCTGGGTCGCGCTGGAAGCTCTTAAAAAGCCTCTTCAGTCCACCTGCTGTGCTCGTTAGCTGCTCACTCAAGCGCCTCAGCTCTCAGGAAAAGACACTAGTTCACTGGAGCCCACGTCTCTCATTCACCACGCATACACATGGTAATGGAATAGACAGAGATGCAAATACACGACAGAGGGGGCACTGCTGACACCGCTGTAGTAAGAGACCCCCATAGACCTGCACTGATTTACATTGTTTTTTTTTTTTTTTTTAAGTTCTTTTTCTTTAAAGGCCAGATCACACTGACCCTACAGACACCAACAAAACCCTATTCTAGAACGTTTTCACCTGTTCATACTGTTCTAGAATGTTCTCCCCTATACAAACTGTTGTAGAACATCCTCCCCATTCGTACTGTTCTTGAATGTTCTCTTTCATGCGCAGTGTTCTAAAACAGTTATAGAACCCCACGCACATTGTTCTAGAATGTGCTCCGCATACACACCCTTCCAGAATGTTTTCCCCATTCAAACTGTTCTACAGTCCCCCCCCCCATACAAACTGTTCTAGAACATCCTCCCCATTCATACTGTTCTTGAATATTCTCAATCATGCAGCTGTTCTAAAACAGTTCTAGAACCTCAATGCATATTGTTCTAGAATGTTCTCCTTATACATACCCTTCTACAATGTTTCCCCCGTTCAAAATGTTATGGAACATCTTCCTCAATTCATAACATTCTAGAATGTTCTCCCCCATTCAGACTGTTCTAGAAGATCCTCCCCGTTCATGTTCCCCATGTTCTTGAATGTTATCTGCTTTTCTCACTGATCTGGAATGTTCTTTCCATTCATACTGTTCTAGACTGTTCTCCCCATGCATACTGTTTTAGAATGTTCTCCCCATCAGTGGTGTTCCAGAATATTCCTACCTATTTGCACTGTTCTAGAATGTTCTCCCCCACGCATACTGTTCTCAAATGTTCTTTCCTATTCACGTTGTTGTAGAACATTCTCCCTGTACACGCTGCTTTATAATGTTCCACCCTGTTTACAATGCTCTAGAAGGTTCTCCCTACATCTACAATGATCTGAAATGTTCTCCCTGAATCTTACTGTTCTAGAATGTTCTCCCCTATTTGCACTGTTCTGGAATTGTCTGCTCTGTTCGTACTGTTCTAGAATGTTCTCCCCATGCATACTGTTCTAGAACATTCACCCCCATACACAGTGTTCTAGAGTGTTTCGCAGTTTCTCGGCTGTTAAATACATTAACATTAATGTGTGTGAAGTAATAAGGACAGTGCAGTTCTGTTGCCGTGTCTCCTTTAAGATAAGTGATAGACTCCAGGGTGTTCAGGGTATTTTGGTTGCGTAATGCGTGTCTATGGTTATGACTCGGTGACTCTGACAGAAGTCTGCTATCCTGATTCTGGCTGCAGCGCTGTTGACGTCACAGAAGCTTCCAGACTGTGGAGTGTGAGAATGAGCATGTGGCTCATTGGGCTGCTTGGTGTGAGTGACTCTGCCACAGGGTCTGGAGGGCAGAGGGGTTTTGCTAATGTGCCCTTTAGTGCTGAAGCCCCCTGCTGCTGCTGCTGCTGTGATGGAGTGTGTGTGGGGGTGGGGGGAGGGAGTGTCCTGTGTGAATTGTGCAGCATAAACCAGCCTGAGACCAAACACTGTGAGGTGGTCAGGATCTCTGCGCGTGTGCTCGTGTCTGTCTGTGTTTGTCTTTAAATGGCTCATATAATAGAAACATTTATCAATAGAACACGTGGGAAAACGATTTAATGTTGTTAATGCTCTTCCTTAAAGTCCGGATGCAAATGGATCGTCCACACTTGAAAGGACTGGCTGATATTAAGGTCTTTTTGACGTCTCTGACTTTTTCAGTCCAAACTTAACAGTTTGTTCCATACATTTCAGCTCATACTCTGTTTTGAACGAGGTCATTTAAAAAAGTCAATCTTAAAGGTACATTAACAGAAACAGCCTGGGGGTCCCACAGTTTCCTCAGAAAGATCTTGGTTGAGATGTAAACAAAGTGCATGAAATGGTTTGTTATAGAGAAAACACACCAACCCAAATTTCTTTACAGTGGTGATGGTGGGAACCAGGGGTCGCCATGTCTACAGCAAAAAAATATAGCCATTTTATTTATGGACAGTAAGCTGCAAAAACAGCCCTCTTTGAGTTTATTGTGTCTATGATGTCACCATTTACATATATCCACCCATTCAGCTTACAGCATTTTAGCCCCAGACATTCCTATTGGAGTGTTTCAACTTTTGAGTGCTTTTTCAACAAGATACAATACAGGACAGCCAATCAGAACAGATCTTATTCATCATATATGAGGTTTAAAGGCAAAGTAACAAAAACAGAAGAAAACACAAGGATGTAGGGTATGTTTTTTTAAAAAAATATATATGTTGTAGGCCAAAACTGTCACAAAAACAGTATGTCTCAGACATCAGGTATTTGTGGCTTCTTTGCATAGTAACTTCCTGTGAGGTAACTTATAGATACTGAACACTTCAGTGGCCGGTTGCACCAGCTGTGCGCAAGTTCAAATGTAGGCTAGTTGTAACGCAGCGGTTTACTAAGTTCTGGTTTATGCATTACTAAATCAGAACAGGTTCTACCACAAACTAGTTTTAACGTTGAGCTTAGTAGTTATTAAATATTTACACCCCCTGAATAGGTGTAGGTTTTGGGGAAACCATCAGAACCATGTAGAAAACACAGAAAAAAAAACACTTTTTTTGGTTAATTAAGCTAAAACTCTAAACAATGTACGCCGTGATTTTACTTATAGCTCTAATCATCTACCTGGTTTTAACTCTGAGCATTAAGCTAAACACCCACAGCTCCAGCTCAGTGAGACTCAGCAGCTGCACAAACGGCTAAACTGAGGCTGTTGTTGTGTCGGTTATCCAGAAGCCGGCATTTAATAAGCTGCATGTTTGGTTTTCTCAGGGAAATATCAAAGAATAAACAGACAATAACTATAGATCATTAGTTTTATTCAGTTTAACCTGTACACATCGTTCTCTTCTATGCTGGATATTTTTGTGTGGAAAATATTTGGTTTTCTGAACATGTTATTGTCAGTTTAGACACGACTTACGGATTTGTGGTGCAACCAAATTTAGTAAAGGGATAGTTTGAAACTAACTAGTGTAACTGAGAACTTAGTAAAGACTTTACGCGCAAACCTGGGGCAACCCAGTCCAGATGTCTGGTTCCTATTACCACCACTGTGAACCACTCTGAATGCTTTTGTTTACATCGTACCATCTTAATTATGCAAGATTTACAAAAATGGATGGAATTCCAATGCTAAGAAAAAATGCTAAGAATTATGACAATTTTTGATACATAAACCCACACAAACATTATTAGTGGACTTCAGGGAACAAGTGAGAGTTGGAGAGTTAGTGAGAGAGAGAGAGAGAGTGGGAGTGTCTTGATTTGGTCACCTTTATGTCCAGTCATGCTACTAACATCCCTCCGTGTTTTATCCTCTGACAGTCCCATTGGTGATGGCTCTGTTTGTATCTTCATTAAAACCGTATCTGAAGTGTTTTTCAACCTCATCCTGCCTCTTTTAATCAATCTCTCTCTCTCTCTCTCTCTCTCTCTCTCTCTCTCTCTCTCTCTCTCTCTCAGTCAACAGCATATCTCAGCGGCAGAGCCTGCTCTTCTGATCAGCGCGAGGGACGAGGACTCTGAAGACGAGTGAAAGAAGAAGTAAAAGAGGAGGATGAACGGAGAGACGTTTCTGTGTGCGATGATGATGATGAAGGGATCCCTGTTTTTCATTTCTTTGAGTCATTACTGTCATGTGGCATTGTGTCTTTAGAAAAGGGGGGTCACTAGATGTTTACATGGGAAGATTGAAGATTTGTTTGTTTTTGTTTGTATTTATATTGTTTGTGTCAAACGATTATGCACTCCCTTTTGCCTGTACATGTAACAGTCATGCTCTCTCTTCCCACTACATCATGTCAGTTTTAACACTATAAATGCAGTACACTTGCAGTTGGTTGCTGACGTGCCGTTTGGTTCGAGCTTGGCTTTGTCGACTTGGATCGGCTTTAAAGGGGAATTTCACAGATTTTTCAAAATGTCTGCATGATTTTAATCATTTAGATGTAAACAACAGATGTGGTGTGAAATGGTTTGTTGTGAAAAAGGTTAAAGGCTCAAATTTCTTTAAAGTGGCGGTGATAGGAGCCAGAGGTCGAGATCTCTACAGTACAAAAAATAGCCATTTTATTTACTAATTTGAAAGAATGTGGGTTTTTTTGAGGTTTCATTTTACCTTACAGCACTTTGCTTGTACCTCTTTGCCATCAATGGATTTTAAAAATCTATGTTTTAAGCTAAAACCTTCTTAAAACTATTGTAAAACAGAGTCTCATTCAAGAGGCAGTGGATTTGGCCATTTTGTTTCAGTGATGAAGCTTTTAGGGGCATTAAATGCTTCAAGTGTTTGCTTCCTATCACTGCCAATGTAAACAGTTCTGACTCAGTAGTTTTCTCTACAACATTTCACACCAAACCACTCTGAATAACCTTGTTTACATCAGTTTACTTATGCAGAAATTTTGAAAAATGGGTGGAATTGCTCTTTAAGGGTCAGATTTAACAATAAGTAAAATTGCAATAGAGTTTTCACTCCTTGCCATAAAGACCAACGTATGACGTGGCAAAAAATAATAATAATAATAATAATAATCGCAATCCCTGGTTTCATGTTGAATGTAGAACAGGATTGAAAAACTGTTAAATTGTTTGTATCAGTCTGTCAAGCCAAGTGAATGAAGGTGCAAGAGCCTTCGTCGTAGTCTTCCTCTAGACCCCGTCCCACCGTCTCTCTATTTCTCTCTATCTCTCTCTCTCTCTAACCCAGTCCGTCCCTCGAAGTCACTCCGCTTCACTTGCTCTGATCTCACAGTGTTATACAACACGGCTAAAACCAACACAAGACGGAAAAAAGCAACCTAGGAAAGGATTTCACCAAAGATTTTCCCCCTTAGCAGAGATTTACGATGATATCACTTGAGCTTCCACTTCCCGAGGCTTCCCTGTGTCTTACCCACTTTGATCTCCCTTTAGTGTTTCCTTCAGAGGTGTTTGCTACTCCTTAACATTATTTTCCAATAAGTATTCTAAGATGAACTGTTGATCTTATTTAGACTCTCTAAAGTGGCTAATTGTAGATGTGTGGTCCAGGTAGTTCTAGCAGGCTGTGTTGGTGTGGTACCTGCTGTTTTACCTGTAGAGGGCAGTGTCTCCATTAGGTCTGGCTTTGAGGCCGAAAGAGGGGAATTCCACCATTTTTTTCAAAATTTCTCAGTTGTTGAGATGTAATCAGAGTTATTCAGAGTGGTATGGTGTGAAATGGTTCATTTTAGAGAAGCATTCTACCGACTTCGGTTCATTGTACCGACTCTGATATTTTTACAGTGGTGGTGATAGGAACCAGACATCACAATGTTTACAATGCATTTTAATCATACATATATTAAACCATACATCAGAACTGTTGTACATCAGTGTGTCAGACATCAGGCAGCGTATTCATAACCTTGTCATGCAATAACTTTCTGTGAGGGAGCTTTTAGAGCCATTAAACTCTCCAGACCTCTGGTTTCTATCAGAACCACTGAATAATTCTGACTTCTGTAGAACGGAGCATATCACACCAAACCACTCTGAATGACTGTTTACATCTGATTCATTTAATTACACAAAAAGTGGAATTACGATTTAAATGCCTGTGTTTTGCAGTAGGAAGAGAAGTATGAGTGACGGCCATATGTAGGGTGTTTGTGTGACTGTGTTACACCTACTAGTTGTTGTAGAGCTCAGGATATGAAACCTTTTTGCTTGTAGAGGCCTCAAATGTTTGTGTTCAAGTATGTTTTCTTATTTAGCAGTGCAGCTGGATGTGTGCAGCTGTTTTCTGTGGTCTGCTGTGGCCATTTACCTTCTACAGCTTCAGCTGATGTGGGTTTACACTAGGGCTGCACAGTATGGACAAAATACTAGTTTCCTAATTAGTTGAGGTAGTTACTCAAAAAACATAATTCAAGACATATGACTAATTAGTTCTCTCTAACTGAAATTGGAACTGATACGGGCTTTTTTGCCTTACGCCACCTTACGTGTACCTTTCTGCTCTGCATGGATTTTTTATTTCTCAGAAACTGTAATAGGATTACTTATTACTTTTTGAAAAAAGTAACCTCACTCATCATTTTATAAAACTCCTACAAGTGTGTACCACCCCAAAAATACACAATATGGCCAAAAGTAAGTGGACATCGTTCTAAAACTATGGCTATTAATATGGCGTTGCCTATTTTTGCATTTATGATAGCTTCCATTTAATGTTCTAAATTCATCCCAAAGGTGTTCAGTGGGGTTGAAGTCAGAACTCTCTGTAGTAACTAAGAGGCCCAAACCCTGGAAAACAGCCCCAGACCATTATTTCTTCTCCACTAAACTTTGCTTCTGGCGTAGGTAGTGTATTTCTGCCTTCCGCCTAACCCAGATTCATCCATTAGACTGCCAGATAGTGAAGTGTGACTCATCACTCCAGAAAACACCTTTCCGCTGCCCCAGAGTCCAGTTGGTGACGTGCTTCACACCACTCCAGCCGACACTTAGCACTCAGTTGTTCGGCCATGGAAACCCATTTCACAAAACTTCAGAAGCACAGCTCTTGTGCTGATGTTGCTTGCAGAGGCTGTTTGGAAGTCTGGATGATGCAGCAGAAGCCTTTTTATGCAGTGCAACATTTGCCGGCCCTCTGAGTTTGGATGGTCTACTGCTTTGTGACTGAGCTGTTGTTATTCATAGATGGTTCCATTTCACAATAGTAGCACTTACAGTTGACGGGCAGATCTAGCAGGGCAGAAATTTCATAGAATTGGCTTGTGGCGAAGGTGGCATCCTTCGACAGTGCCACGTTTAAATTCACTGAGCTCTTCAGTACGACCCCATTCTACTGCCAGTGTTTGGAGATCCCATGGCTTTTTATCCACCTGTTAGCAATGGGTGTGGCCGAAACCCTTGAACTCAGTAGTTAGGTGTCCGCATACTTTTGGCCATATAATGTACCATAATAATAAAAAAAATAGCCTGAGCCCGATTTGTATGAACAAAAATGTCCCGAACCTGGCCCAAAACCTGACATTTTTTTCAGATTTGGGTCGGGTAGCAGACCTCTACACTGTGTCGCTGTCCCGCCATACTGAATTTATTGCACATCAAACTCCCTTACGCTGCCAGATCTTACTAAAAGCATGGTTCAATAGTTCATACAAATTTATTAGCACCCCTGTTAATTTTGGGACAAATTTTCCCTGTAATACAACCTTCTGCTGTGCATCTGTTTAGCACCGCTGACTGTAACATTATAGTGGATTTTAAAAAAATATTTCAAGCGGTCGTACAAGTTTGGTTTGTCTAACAGGTTGCACCCCCCTCCGGCCCCTTTGGAGATTATTCAGCGTATGTATGTGAGTGTATAGGAGATTTCATTGAGGGTAGTGTTTCGTGTAATGAAGAAGGAAGACTGAGGTACATTGTAAATAGCCTTAGACTGTTTGTTGTTTTCAGATCAGAGCAGTGGTGCAATGAGAGGAACCTCCCTTTGTTGATGTAATTTTTAAAGAATATAAGATTTTTTTTTCTTTCTTTTTTGGTTATAGTTATCATTGATGCTGTTTTTATTGTGTTCTCATATTTTTAATGAGGAACATCTGCGTAGTCCAGTAGACTTACATGGTTCAGATACTCGGTTTTGACGGTTTCTTTATTTTTTCGCTCGTTTCTTTGATTCTAAAGGCCGTGAAAGTGGCTCTTTCAGTTTAAAGCTTCTGTCTGCAGTGTGGGTTCTGTGGAAGGGCTAAAGTGGCTTTCAGTGGCTGATGAGAATCTCACCTCCTGTCCTGCATCCTGCAATAACCGTAAAACTGCGCAATAAGCGAGGATTTATACCGGAACCTTCTCTAGATTGACCCCCCCCCCGTGGATTTATGTGTTTGTGATAAAAACTGCGAGATCTATAGTCAGATTTGTTGTGCACAGATTTCTAAGGCTTGTTTTTATTGCTCTCATATGGAGCCCAATACATGAGATTTTAATAGAAGTGTTGCTGAGATCCCTTTTTCTACACGGAGGCGCATTCTGAGCCAGTAATAACAGACTGTCGTAAAGTTTTCAGTGTGGGTTTATGCTTTTGATGTTTCTTTTGTACAATTTGGCCTTTTTAAAGGGGCATTTTCTTGCTAGCAGACACTTGATCAGTATTATTGTTATCATTATTGACTCTTTTTGTAGTTTACTTTTCAGTATGGTTTAAAGAGCCAAGGGTTGGTCCCTCTTAAGGGGGAATTCCACCAATTTCTCAAGATTTTTGGGGTAATTCAGTGGTTAAGTTGTCAGCAAAGTCATTCAGAGTGGTTGGAGGTCAAATGATTCACTGTAGAGAAACTTACCCACAATGTCTTCACAGTGGTGGTGATGATAAAATAGTGGTGTATCTGAAAAAATAAGATTTCTTTAGGGACTAGTTTGCCTTAGAACACCCTGCATGTACCTCCACCATGAATGATTTTAAACAGATGTGCTTTAGGCCAAAACCTTCTCTCAGAACTATGATAAAACACTGTTTCAGGCATCAGAGATTTCTAACCATTTCATTTCACATCAAAACTTTGTCAGGTACTGTTTAGCGTCAGACATCTGGTTCCTATCACCACCACTGTGAACAACTCTGAGTTGCTAAGTTTCTTTACACTGCAAAAAATGGTATCTTGTCATGTGAAATGATCTTAAATCTAGTCGATATATCTAACATTTCCCACTTTGAGACGGTTGTGCACCTATTATAAGATTATCTAGCTTATTTCTAGACATTCTTGTTTTAGGTGGCTTTACTGGCAGATAATTTCGCTGGTTTTGGGCACGTTTCTTAAAACAAGCAAAACTATCTGCCAATATAGATAATTTTACTTGATAAAAATACTTAAAACAAATAAAAATGTCTAGAAATAAGTTGAATAATTTTATAGTAAGTGTACAACCACCTCAACAGGAGAAATATTAGATTTTTTGCCTAGATTTAGGATCATTTTACTTGACAATATACCATTTTTTGCAGTGTAGAACAGCATTTCACACCAAACCACTCTGAACGACTTTTTTACATCTTAACCATTTAACTACTTCAGATTTGTCGCAAATCAGTGGAATTCCCCTTTAATTTCGACCACCTCTGTCTTAGCTTTCCTTTATGTATGTGTAAATGAGTGTGGGAGGTGCTGATGCGTGTAGTCCACTGATGTATAAATATGTACATTTAAAAACCGCATAGAAACATGAGAAAGCAAAGCAATAGCCACTGTAAATGCACATCACCCTTGTTAACACGAGTTCAGTCCACTCTGAAAGAGGATTCTGGTCATTTATGCAGCTGTGGACGGGCGCTATGTCTAGATCTACCCAATGTGGTGGATGTATAACCCCCTCAGAAACTGAATGATGATGTAAATGGAATGCTGAATACCCTTCTTGGTTTATTTATCATGGATTTTTGTGTTCTTGCTATGGCAATAGTCCATCCCTCCACCAAAGTGAAGCACGTGTGGGTTGGAGCTTTGTGGAAAAACCTTGTATTGCTGTTCATCACATTGTTCACCGTCCCTTCTGAAGGACAATGCAGAAAACATGTCTGACTGTTATCTCCACACAACCTGTCTGACTGCAGAACGTTTTTCGGAGGAGGCTTTTTCTCTGTGACGTCTGTGCCGACCCGCACAAGCCCAACCTGGACGTGTTTTTGTGGCAGGAGGAACAAAATGTGAATTCTGTTTTCAGGCAATACAATCATTGGCCCAAACCTGACGTTTGTTCTCTTGTTTATTTATTAATTTATTCCTTTATTTCGTTTATCCCGATCAGGATCTCATGAATGTACAGATTCATACATTCAGTTTCTACCTGTTAGGCTGGTTTAATTAACATGTACACTGTGCTGTAGGACTCTGTTTGAACACATTATTGACTTCATCTCCATTAACTTCAGTCATTTTCATTCTTTATGAGGGATCTCGGTCAATCTTAGACGTACAGCGCTGTGCAGAAGTCAGAAAGCACTATATTTATTTCATTTCCAGTCAAAACGGTCATTAAGAACTAATTCTTCAGGAGAAAAATGGAAAGAAGACCTGGTAGACACCAAAACGTCCCCGATCAGATAAACAGCACTTAAAGCTTTCATCTCTGAGAGGGAGGAGAAAATCAAGCTGCTTCAGAGCTGAAAACATCCACAGGTGTTTCTGTCCATCCTTCCACTGTGAGAAGACGACTCAGCGCTATGGGTCTGAAAGGATGTGTAGCTGTCAAAAAGAACCTCACTGAGAAAAGGAGACGGACACATCAAACGAAGAAGCTCAACAATGGACTGACCACCCCAGAGTCCAGACCTCAACACCACTGAATGTGTTTGATTACTTCAGAAAATGATCAACCAGCTTCTAAGACTGAACTTCGGAGGTGTGAAAAACATCCCTGCAGATTCCTTTGGAAAACTGAAAGCGAGCCTCTTAAACAGAATGGAAGCTGTAATAAAAGCTAAGAGTGGACACACAAAATACAACAAATATCATAATATTTAGTCGTTGAGGCTTCTCTGTAACTTTATGTTGATTTTTTTTTTCCTGATGCTGAAAAATTAATTTAAATAATAAACTTGCACTGATCGGCCGTTTTGACTGGAAATGAATGAAATGAATGGTGCTCTCTGACTTTGTGCTGTACTGTAAGTTATAAAAGCTTATTATTCATTCTCATCAGCTGAGCTTCCTACTACTACGATTTACATTCTTGCATACATTTGCATAAATTAAAAGAATATTCCATTTTTCTGTCTGTGTTTATAGAATGTGGTCTTTGACCGCGGACAATAATCATTTTTATTTAGAAAAGAGCAGAAAACGAGTTGAAAGATACAGTCGTGTGCAAAACTTTGGGCACCCTGGTCAGTGACCTTGTTGATTTTCTAAGTGAACAAAGTTAACATCTACAGAGAGCACATTTTAATGCGGTATTACTTTTTCAATTTTTTAAACTTAGCAAATAAATAATAAATATAAATTGTGCACTAAAATTAGCTGAAAAATGCGTATGTAAGCGTTCTCTGTAGAGGATGTGTTAACTTGTTTTCACTTACAATCAAGGACAGTTAGAAAAGTTTGCATACAACTGTGTTTAGAATAAAGTGCGGCACCTGCCACCACATTGGCTTCTATTACAAGCGTGTTTTGAATCTGCAGCTTTCTGTTGTTTTTCTGTTCTGTATTCAACACATTGTCCACTGTGATCGATTGTATGCTACAGTTGCAGCCGGTAGAGATGAGGTCAAAAAGCCATGGGCTCTTCTTTTAAGTGATTGAGGGGAGAATATTGGGCTTAGATTTCAGAGGCAGGCCTGATTTCAGACCATCTAGAAGACGCCTCACAAATTCAGCACAAGCTTTTTCATTTATATCCTGTTATTTCAGTCAGATCCACCATGAAGCACATATTTTTATGGTACAGTGGCATCAGATGGATTTGTGGCAACAACAACAACAATCAAAGGGCACATTTAATATGTTTAAGAATCTGCCAGGCTGATCTGAACTGTTTCTAAGAGAAAAACTCTTCCTTTTAAATGTTTATTATATGATATATTTTCAGCTGTTCCGTCTCCAGAGCTAACAAACACACAAACAACGCCATGGACACATCCTCATCTGAAGAATTTCATTATGAATTCCATTTTATGATTAAGAATCTCGTTGTTTTTTTTGTCTTTCAACATCCCACCTTCATGAGCAAATAACACTTTGTTTTTACACCATTCAAAGTGACTCCTCCACTAGTTTGATAATCTACTGTGTTGATTGATATAAATGATTATAATTAATAATTCCTGAGATGACTGCAATATGAATATTTGCGCCTCAGTGTGTTTCGTGCAGCAGCTTGGTTTGTTGACTGCCTTTAACTTTTTATTATCGGTCCATACCAAAGTGATCAAACCTTGCATGGGTCAGTTTGAAATCTTCCAGGATAACCAAAATGCTGATACTTTGCTTTTGTGTTTTTTATTCTAATAAGCCAGTTTCACTACGAAACACAAGTCGCTGTTATGATGAAACCACATACTTACAATCCAGATATGTTAAGAGATATCTCCAGTAAATGTTGTACAATTATGTTTATTCATTGTATTTAAAAAAAGTATATATATATAGTTCAATAAAGATATATTCCTTTCTGAGGATTATTATTATTATATCACTCAATCTTCATTTATTTTGTGTCAGGGTGCAGTGACTTTCTGCTTATTTCAGTTCTGTGTCTTTCTTACAGTTGTGTCCCCTGGTCACTTTACATGTTTTGTTGATTTTGTAAGTGAAAATAAGTCAAATCATCCTTTACAGTAAAAAAAAAAAACTTAAATATGCCATTTTTTCTGCTAATTGTAGTACAAAATATCTGCTGTTTATTTGCTGAGTTTAATGTAAAAAATACACTATAAAATGTGCCATAACTTTTACACAGGCCACATTTAGTTTTTTCCTCAAATTTATTATAATGAACAGTATATATAATTTACTATATTACATAATTATTAATTAATATACTATATTATATAATATTATATAACAAACAGTAATTGTGCATTAAAATGTGCAGTAGTGTGTTCTCTGGAGAGGGTGTTTTCACTTATGGGGTCCACTTCTGATTTTTGTCTGGTTTTATGTAACCAAAACAACCATAAATCATTTTTACATGACTTTACAGCCCCTCTGTAATCTTAAGTATTAAGTCTGATTTCTGAAAAAAAATAAAAGAGCTGATTAGCTGCCCTGTATTCTACGTCATTCAAAAGCAGTCTGAACTGAAACACTCCTTATAACTTCAGAGTGAATGGGCGGGGCTAAACTAGTGTCGACTGATATATATCTAAATATACTGATGCACTATATGGACAAAAGTATTGGGACACACCTCTTAATCATTGGATTCAGGTGTTTCAGTCAGTCCCGTTGCCACAGGTGTATAAAATCAGTCACCTAGCCAGAAGAGTGGAGGCTGTTAGAGCTGCCAAGGGGGACCAACTCCACATTAATGTCTATGGATTTAGGATGGGCTTCATTAAAGCTCCTGTAGGTGTGATGTGTAGGTGTCCCAATACTTCTGTCCACATGGTGTATATTGATACTGGTTTTCATGACATTACAGAAACAGTGAATTCAAACAGGCTGTTTATGTAGATGGGTTTCTGGGTGTGGACTGAACACAGTCTTTTACAGTCTTAGTGGTGTTTATGTGCTTCATCAATATCAGGGGAAGGTTTTGTTTTCTGTGATTTTCTTTCTTTCTTTCTTTCTTTCTTTCTTTCTTTCTTTCTTTCTTTGTGATGCCTATATTATTTTCTTTCTTTCTTTCTCTTTCATTTCATTTTTGTGTTTTTTCTTTCTTTCTTTCTTGCTTTGTGATGCCTATATTATTTTCTTTCTTTCTTTTTTCTTTCTTTCTCTTTCATTTCATTTTTGTGTTTTTCTTTCTTTCTTTCTTTCTTTCTTTCTTTCTTTCTTGCTTTGTGATGCCTATATTATTTTCTTTCTTTCTTTCTCTTTCATTTCATTTTTGTGTTTGTTTTTCTTTCTTTCTCTTTCTTTCTTTCTTTCTTTCTTTCTTTCTTTCTTTCTTTCTTTGTGATGCCTATATTATTTTCTTTCTTTCTTTCTTTCTTTCTTTCTTTCTCTGTGATGCCTATATTATTTCTTTCTTTCTTTCTCTTTCATTCATTTTTGTCTTTCTTTCTTTCTTTCTTTCTTTCTTTCTTTCTGTCTGTCTGTCTGTCTGTCTGTCTGTCTTCTTTTCTAGGCTTTTTTTATTTCTTTCTCTTTCTTTCTCACGTGCTGTCAGTTTTGACAGTTGGATCTGGTATCGATTGTTTCCCCTGGTTCCCTCACCGCAGTAGTGGTGATCTGTGCTCGATGTGTTGGGTCAGTGTGGGTGAAGATGGCGGCGCTGGTCTCGTCCACATGTGAGGTGTTCAGAGAGGGAGTGACCGCTGTTTTAGGCAGCTGGCCGGTTTTACAGGTGAGGAACGAAACAGCACAGCGTACAGTTCAGCTCAGTACAGCGCCGTTAAGGACGGTCAGGGGAAGAAAACACAGTAATAGCGGGGTTTAGTTCAGTGCTAACGTTAGCCGGTTTAGCTCGGAGCTCTTCAGTAGCGTCAGAGCCGCTTTGTTTGGGGAAACAATAACGATCCTTTATACTGAATAAAACACGTTTATATTGAGCTTTTTGTACATCAGACATTCGGTAAAGCTGCATATTAGGGCTGAAGAGCTGTTACAGATGGGTACGTAACGTTACAGCCGGCCGGAGCGATACGAGTTATAACCTAAGAGGTCCGTGAGTGTTTAAATGCGGTGTTCAAAAAGCGTAAAGGGCCGTTAAAGTCTGTGTTTTTCTAGTATTTTATTCCCCCCACATGACCACGAATAACATTTGTGTGGCTTTATGTACCAAAAAATATTCCTTCTTCCTTTTCATTACCATTTTCAACCTCAACATCAAGGATTAGAATCAAACGGCCTGTTTTTGTTGCTGTTCCTTTAAGACTAATATATGTAAATTATTTAGCTCCGCCCATTTATACTGACGTTATAAGGAGTGTTTCAGTCCAGGCTGCTTTCTGAATGAGGCTCAGTTCAGGGCAGCCAATCAGCTCTGTCGTATTTACATATATCAATCTTAAAGGCACAGTAACAAAAACAGCCTGTGTAACGGATAAAGAGATGTTGGAAAATGATGAAGTAAAATCTTTTTGGTGCATGAAACCATGCAAGCATTATACGTGGACCTCAAGGAGAACAGTTGAATACAGGAAAATGCAGGATATGGGTTTAAGAACATTTCAGTACCTTTTTTAAGGTAAGTGTCTTCATATGAACAATCTTAGATGTAAGCACCACCAGAAGGCCATTTTTGAGGGATAACAAGTATTCTTGATTTTATTCTTAAGTCAAAACATAAATCTGTTCAGAGTGATGTATTTAAGTCTGTCAATCTGCTTCATCATGAATGCTTGGTCATTTTAGATAGCGGTGGATAATGGCTTTGGTGGAGTGTACAGTCAGCAGAAGGCGGAGTGGATGGTCGATGCTGTTCAGCAGTATTTTCATGACAACAGTAAGTGTTACGTTATAGCTTCTCTTTACACTGTGGCTTTAATGGAAACGTTCCATAGTTTAAGATTTTGGTTTTTGCTCTGCTCTGAAATGTTTGATTGATATATATATATATATATATATATATATATATATATATATATATATATATATATATATATAATCTAAACTGCTTATCCTTCTGGGTCGCGGTGGGGTGCTGGAGCCTATCCCAGCTGTCATTGGGCAGAAGGCAGGATACGCCCTGGATAGGTTATATATATATATATATATATATATATATATATATATATATCACTGCTGTCGGAAGAAAACCTCCTATCTCCATTTTTGTCATTTTTCAGTTTTTGACATGATTAAAAAATACCTGTCACCCTTTATATTGTTTGTACATTTCATGATGAATAGACCAAAATAAACGGCCCAAAATGACTTGGAAAAAATTCTGGTTCCATTGACCTACATTAAAAGTAAATTATGTTTTTTCCTTCTCCTGTAAAGTTATCATTTTGGAGATACAAGGTTTTGTTCCGACAGCAGCAAAATGTATATCAACTTGTTGGTCTGTAATATGTATATGTTAAATGTGGTTTCACGCAGATGACCTCGAACAGGATGAAGTGGAGGACTTCCTGTCCGATCTGATGAACAATGAGTTTGACACTATGGTGGACGATGGCAGTTTGCCACAGGTTTGATACTTTTTAAGAAGTGAATTGTTTCCAGCAGTTAACAGTGATGCTTTTCAAATATAAGTACATTCATGATGCGTAGATTCCTTGAAAGAGGGAATTATATCCTAACTTAACAGGTTTTCCTTCCTTTAAGGAGCCCTAAAGTGTTCTCGGTTATCCTAAAGATTTGTGATTTGGTCATTAGCCAAAGGGATAAATATATATTTATTTCAGATGGAGTGAAAAGCTAGAGAAGCTCTCCTTCTGTGCCATTTCAGAAAGCACGTTAATTGACAGTGGCACAACCACTGCAACATAACCCCACAGTAGTGGCCTGTTTTCCATTTTTAAGCTTTTATTTACAAGCAGAAGTCAGACGCTGTGTGAGACGTCACATTACTTAAGTATATATACATTAAACAGGAGTGACTATGGTAACCACAGTGAGTGTTAAGTGTAACTGGTTACTGCAGGTGGGGATCTGGCCTGTCTTCCAAACACTGATAGCATTCGCTAAAGTAGAGCACTGTGGCTCGATGGCTATGATAGTGACAAATCATTTAAGCAGCATTGTCTGCTAAGTTTATGGACTAGTTACCAAAATTATATAGAAGCACTGAGAGATGGCTCACTCTGCACCCTCTCTAGAGGAGCGATAGGGAATAGCTTTATCAGAAAGCTGCTCTCCAAATCCGTTTCACTTGTGAAATTATCAAACTGATCTTTCATAAAGTGGGCACAGTGTATTATTATTATTATTATTATTATTATTATTTTACATTAAAGCTGTTACAGTTATTTGAGCACAGTTGTGTGTTTTTAAAATGCTAGCTAGTTGTGGGGGCTGTGGTGAGGATGCGCTGACAAAAAATCAAATTCTTACTGGTTTATTGGATCGTTTGATGTCTGCGTCTTCCAGTATAGTCCTGTCCAACTCAAGTCCAGCTGACAAGACGCAAAAGTGCAGAATGCTCTCAAATGACATGACCAGTATTGTTCTTTATTAGTCAGTTGATACTACATTCTTGATGGACTCCGCAGTGTTTATTTCATAGTCCATACAGTGACAGTTTAAACTCAGAAGCTGACCCTGTGTCCTTTATTCAGGTGGCGCAGAAGGTTTGTGTGATGTATCAGCAGTGTAAGCAGGGGAAACTGGCCGAGGTCAGAGAGCACATCCACCAGCTGGAGCTGAAAAAGGCCGCCGGGAGGGCAAAGGTCACACCTGTGAAGGCACCTACAGAGGAGGAAGAGGAGAGCGAGGATGATGAAGAGGTTTGTTCAGCTGACATTTTGTAAATTCAGCAGGTTTTATGTAACAGAATGGAAAGTTGGTAAACAAGGTCTGGCTTTTTAAGGTCAAGGCACATCATGAAATGAAAATATAATGAAATAAACATGTAATGCAACTTTTTGGGAAATGGAACTTTGACATATATTGGAACTGGAACTGTTTTTTTTTTTTATCTTTGTGTTGATCTGTATGTTCACACCAATGAGCTGAGTCTGGCTCATTGTGTGTATAATATTGGGAAGAAAATCTTTCACATGATAATTCAGCATTTAATAAAAGCTTATTACAAATTAGCATCATGTGAGCTGCTGATAAGATGTGCTTACTTTTTCTTTTTCTGTTCAGTCTATGGAGTGTGATGAGGCTGGAGCAGGAGCGTCGGTCAGCAGTGCAGCAGTGAAAGACCAGCAGCCTCCTTCAGCTACAGCTACTGAGGAAGAGGACGATGGCTGGACGGTCGTGCGCAGGAAAAAGTGATCAGAGCTACAGCTACATGCACATTATAGGCTTACAAACCTCAGAGACCCTGTGACTCTGAGACTCAGTACCACAGATGAACTTCACACTGTTTAGTGGTGCTGTGTCTGAATGGACTCATGGGAGCAAAAATCAAAGAAGTATTTGGTGTTGCAATAGATTGAAAAATGATCTGTGTAGGACAGAAAATAACTCCTTTTCCAGTGCTGGAAAAGTCACATCTGGTTATTTGAGACAAAGGTCCTGCATGTTGTGAAGAACAGGTTTAAACAGCGCTCATAGACTGTCATACATTCTGTCAGCAGTTTTTAAATCCAGGCTGCTACAACCAGCTTTTACTGTACATTTGAACTTGTTATAGTGTGTTTTTGAATATGGTACAGTTGGTTAAACATTTGTTTAACAGATGGTATTAGTAAGATGTGGCAGATGGGTCGTCACTAATTTTCTACAGCCTGCCCTCAAAAGCTGGGCCATAGACTCATGACTGTTGTTATAGGTGTAGAGGGCCCCCTTGTGGCCATAGCAGGTTCTACAGGATTCTACAGGATTCAGAGCTGTAGTGTTAAGGACTCACAGCTGGTGCTGGTCCCTTTTAATTAAAACTTTTATGGTTCGTTGAACTATTTTGAGTTTAGTGTGGTTGTTGATTATTAAATGTTAATGTACATTTGCAGGGGGCTCCAAACGCCTGCTGCTACTACTTCAATACATTATTTAAAATGACAAATTATATTTACCATGTAACAACTACAGTGAAAAGTAGAATGTTTGAAATTTTAACATGAAATTTGTAGTTGTGTGGTATGCCCCTCTTGCTTTAATGACCACATGCACGCAAGCTAGACCCCAAAAGCCTGTGGTGAGATGATCAATTCCACCCGAGAATCATCTGAATGTGAGCTTCAGTGAAAGCAATAAGACCGAAACAAACGACCAATCTGACCTCTTTGGTCAGTCATCTTCATGCTCACTGTGACAAACTTGTTTAAATTTGAAACGTGATGAATATTTCTTCCTTGTTCTTGTCACAAACTTTTTCATTGAAACCTGGAAATAAATATACAGCTTGGAGTTGCACTGTGGTCTCAAACCTTTGGACCCACAATTATTAACAGTAATACAAAGAATAAATGTATTTTCATATTTATACCTTTCAAAAACAAAAACACTGCCACAGTTGATTCTGAGTGATTTATTTGTCAGTAGTACACGGGTTCAATAGTTCATGTCTTTATTCTGTCAAGTCTTCATATAGTGCTGTATGTTCACAAACAACAAGCATTCCTCACACAGCGAACAAATATAAAAGGTGAAGGCTTTTTTTTTTTTTTTAAATTCTTTTCCTCCATTCTTGTTTTTGTTTTTAATTCAGGGCATGTCAAGGCACTATTGTAACATATAAACATGTGACCATCCTACACACTGAGATGACCATACGATGAAAACCGTCGACAGACTACAGACATCTCATCTCCACCACGTAGAGAGATCAAAGCTTCTTTAAATATATATTATATATAAAAAAATCGTAGATTTGAGGTTCTAGCTAAGAATACTGTGTGCTCAGAGTACTGTTTTTTCAGTCTTGCTTTAATACTGACGATACATTCTGAAGAGTGGGTGTGTACCTGTGGGCAGGCTACCAAGCTGACCTTCAAGACGCAAACTGCACTAAGAGAGTGAGAGAGTGGTTTCGAGAGTGTGGGTATGTGCGTTAGGAGCTGATCCAGGGGTGCTGCAGGCATTCGGCCGCAGTCGCTCGTTTCTCTGGCACAAACTCCAGCATGGTGAGGAGGAAGTCACTGAACTGAGCCGCCTGCTCCAGCGGCCACTCGTACTTCTCCAGCAGCACCTCAAACAGACCCCACGGCTTCAGATTAGTGATGTGCCGCAATTCACCTGGAGAGAGAGACTCGTTTAAATCCACTTTGTCTTAACTGCTTTAGCGTACGCAGCATATACTGTTTCAACACCCTTCTAAACAACCCTGCACAAAGAGAACTGTGGCCAAAACCACAACAAAAAAACAATCAATGAAAAGTATTCGCAATCAAACAGGGCCTTCATCATTCAGGTGATTCCACAAATGCCACTTGTGTTGATATTAATGAATGTGTATGTACAGTAGAGGTAAAAGATGTACAACAGCAAAGCATCCTTAAAAACAACCTATGTGCATGTTCCAGAAAACACACAATGTGATATCAGATACAAATTTTACATTTAGTTAAACCTGGGGTGTCAAACTTAACCACTAAAGGGGCCATTTTAAAAAAACGTCAACAAATCTTTGGGCCTTAGAAGAAAAAATATCATTTTTAATTAATGTTGTGCTGCAGCCCGAACTGGCCATTGTTCATTAAAAATATGCAAAACCTTCAGCAGTAAAATACAGACACTTGTATTAGACCTTGAAATATTACATGACTTGAAATATTCAATTTTTAAATATCCCCAGTTTCTCAGTCTCTTAAACCTGCTTGAACTCGACTCCGGGCATCTTTTTCATTAAGACTTGGGCTCAGTTTCTGAGATGCTGAGCTGACATTGGGTGTTTATGCTGGTTGAAATGCAGCTGGTGTGTTTGGTGATATGACTGGTGTAGAATTTTGCTGAATTGAGGTACAACTGCTGTCCCATAGACTACTGTTGGGGTAGAAGAGTCGGAGCACATTACATTGCAGTGCATGCTGGGGACTGCAGTGCAGCACATTGAGAAACGGGCCAATATTAACAGAAAATTAAAATACTTCATCCTTTTGGGGGCCTTGTGTTTGACACATGGGAGTTAAACAGTGCTTCACTGACACAGGATTTCTGACTAGTTCTCTTCATAAAGAAAATGTATTTTCTGTAACGTTATTCTTGAAGCAAATGTTTAATTTAGATATATTTTATATTTTTTAACTATTAAGGTGTTTTGTGTTTAAATTCCACAGTTCAGCCTGTATTGCTGTTACATATTTAAATATGTGGTGATCCATGTTGGGCTCCCCAGTGTCACAACCATCTAAGGTGTTGCAGCATTAGCAAATCTCTAAGTCCCGGTGATGCTGTAACCAAAACAAATGGTAATTATTGACTAATAGTAATGGTCAACCAGTTTAATGGTCAGGCTGTATATTCAATTATGGTAGTATTCTTTTTAAGAAAAAAATACTACTTATGGTGGTATTTTATTAACTTGCACAACAAACCATGTACAGCCAAAATCTAATAGGCTTACTATGTGGCAAAAAAGGCGCACACAAATGGCCGTATCAATCAGGCTGTTTCTTAATGTAAGAGAGACCAGTACGAGAATTAAATCGGCATTATCCACATGGAAATGACTGCTGCCTAATCACTGCAGATTCCATTAAGGAATCGTGACAACAGTCAGCCAAATACTGACACAGCTTTGGTTAGCCAGTGGTAAAACAGCACAGTACTGGTTTTGATTCAGGGCTCTCACACAAATGTCATTCAGCCGGTTTAATCCAGCCATGTAGAGAGGGCAAACACGCTTAGGCGTATTTTCTAGACAGCTCGTGATTTATGAAGCAGTGTGAGCTGCTCACAGCTGAACAGGTGAGCACTAGAGTTACAGACACACGAAACCTTTCCAGCAGCCGCAGGTTAGAAACCAGAGAGGCGCGCATACACGAGCAGACCTGCTGCTTTAGTCACAGTACGCAATAAGAGCTTCGCTAATAGGGGATCTTCCCCAGACTTGTTTTTGAACTAATAATATCTTGAGTCAAGCTGTGATCTCATAGCCTTTAGCTTTCCTCACGTGTTCACTCACTGTCAATAAGCCCTCATTCATCCAGCTTATATAGATGATCTGTGATTACTGCCTTTTTAAACTCGACTCCAACACTACGTTCATCCATATCAAGCCTCAAATTCAAACTAGATGACAGCAGACATACATTTCAGGCTCTTCTAACAGTTCTAAATTTCAGTAAACATGAATTGATGAATGACTTTGCTGGGACAGGTTCTGGATTCAGAGTTTAAATGAAAGGTTTACTTCTAAAACGCATTACAGGACACTTGTTATTGAGAGATATACAGAATTTTGGAATAAATCCTCCCCCTTCTCCTCCTCCTCCTCATCGCATCTTAAAACAAGAGAACTTGTAAATAGCAACAGGGCTACACCACACTGTCAAAGCACATGACATGGACGGTCAGCTGGGCAGCTACACCACACAGCAGAGACTTCAGATGGCATTGTTTGTGACCAGCGCATATAACTTTATCTAACTTTTATTTTCGTAAAGCAATTACTTTCTGCATGTTTTCATCTTACCTCTGCGGTTGAAGTACTCTCTTGAGTATCTTCCAGAGAGAGCAAAATGAGTAGGAATGGGGCCCAAAAGCTCAATGACATGAGCCAAGTGATCTATAAATAAACAACACACAAGTCCTCAATAGCACATCACACATCGAGTTTCCATCAGTGACTGTGGGAAAAAGAGAGAACGATCAGCAGAAAGCTTGAGAAAGAAAAACAGAGCACTGACCTTCATCTCGAGTGTAGTCTTCCCCTGAATGAGGCTCAAACAGATAGTCTCCTGTGGCCAGCTCGAACGCCTAAAAACATGGCATCACCATTAGTACCACTGCTGACTAACACCATTCACTGACTGCAGCACTGAGTCTGAATAAAGAGAGCAGCAGAGGACAACACGAGCAGAAGATGCTGAATTCATGATTTAGAGTCTTAACATGATCTGAATGTGGCGACTAATAGATGCTTAAATGTTATAATCAATCATAATCAATTACAACAATACACAAAAATCAAATTTTCATGCTAACTTCACGTGTACAAATAAAAAAAGCTTGCTGTGTTGTTTTCATTGTCCAGTACTGTGTAAATAGCTCCTCATCACACTTGTGCATTCAGGGTATTTTAACCCTTTTCATAGTAGTCAGTTTCAATCTCAGCCTGTTCTGGAGGTCCATCAGTTAAGATGTAATGATATTTTGAATTAGGCTGTTTTATTTGACAAAATTAATAAAAAAAAATAATAAAAATAAAAAAAATCAGCAGAGTCGATTTCCATTCCATTCAAAATGTATATAAATATATTTTTTTACCTTGTTAATTAAATGTTTATCATACTAAGCACCATTTATCAAGCTATACCATTTAAAAGAAAAAAATATTGTTTTCCCGTAATCTTTGATCGAAACGTAATGCCAGCCTCTAAAACATCTTCTGATTTTTGATTTGCAACAATAAACAGTGAATTAAAATATTAGGCAATATTATGTTTCATGTATGGAAAGAAAATGTGTCATGACTTCTGATTCATGTTGACCAAAAAGATCATTCTGAATCAAACCAATACTACTTCATAGAAATTTAAGATTTCCTATAAATCATTGTGAGGTCAGAGATTTACAACCTTATAAACTAGTGAACAAGCAACATGGATATAAGTTGTTAAAGTTCTAAAGAAGAGGAATAAATAAATATTTGAACTATATTTAAGACTAATATTTGATGTATTTATTATGCTCCAGAATAGCAGACCATTTAGTCAAAGCTCGGTTACTGTGCTGAAATGTCTGCATTTTATTAATTTTACTGCATTTCTAAGCCCGACAAAAATAAATGTTAGATTTTTCTTTAATTAGATTTACCTCAATGCTAGTCCAGGTAGTCATAATGTCTGTTTTATAAATGTTTATACATATGTAAGTGTAAAAACTCTGATATTGACATTAACCCACAGTTTTCATATTAGTGCATGCCTAATTTTTCGAAACTGAAGTCTCACCATGCACGCTGTGCTCCAGATATCCGCCGGGGGGCCGTACTCTGCCCCAATCAGCACCTCCACTGCTCTGTACTGGCGAGTCTGAATGTCCTCTGTAAAGTGCTTGTGCTGCAGGGGAAAGAACAGCAGCAAGGTCTGGATTACGATGCACAATCCAGCAGGAAGGTAAGTGCATTAATAAGACTTGAGCACTGCTAATGATGGCTGGTTACATCCGTTAATAAACAAAGATAACAAATGTAATAGAAACCTTGTTTGTGTACTGAACACGTTGCCCTGCTCACACAAAGGAACCGCTGCTGCATGGA